AAAAAACAAAAAACAAAAACAAAAAACAAAAAAAAAGTATGCTATCGACCGCTGTGCCATTTTTCCATGTCACAGTTGCCAACTGTGCGACTTTTAACCTGTGCAGAAATCAATTAGGCACCGTATCGAATAGATACACATACACTCAAGCGTAAGAGCGATCGATCATCAGCAGTCGCTGTTCAAAATGATGCTGAGCTGGCCCTTGATTGTGGACTCGGTGTGAGTTTTTTCTATTTCTATTTCTATTTTAGTTTTTTTTTTTTTTGGAAAACGTATTTTATTTATCAATTAAATCGAATCGAAAATTGTGCGCAATTACTGAGCAAATAGTTATGAGCCAAGTTCGTTGCCTGAGTCTTTTGTTTTGCAGCCACACTCAGCCGAAAAGTTGCACCGAATTTAAAATATTCTAGATACTTTTGACGCCAAGGAAGTAAATTGCCAAAGTAAACTCTTATATAGCAGCACAGAGAGCAAATTTCTTTACTATTCTCTGAATTTCCGAAAGGATTTTCTTTTAATAATGTGTTAATTATAATAGGAAATATTTCTAAAAAATAAAAAAAAGTCATATTTTAAGCCTTTCTAATTTTACGAAAAATTGTGTTTAAAATCAAGAAAAACTTTCTAATTTTCAGGTCAATTTTTTCTGAGTGCAGCAGATTTTTTTCTCTCGCTGAATTGCTGCACGAAACCCACTCGCGACGCTCGACTCCGGACTCTCGTCTCGTCGTCTGTTGACTAGGGGGTGTCAGTTTCGATTTCGATTTCGGTTGCAACTACAGCTTGCAGCTTAGCGTTTACAGCTTGGTTGCATCTGCCAGCCGTGCAACATTTCCGGCAAGAGCGCTCCACGCTGACGCTGACGTTAATGTTGACGGTGGCAAAGGTCAGCAGCGAAAACGAATCGGCACTTGGCACTTGAATTCCTGATGCTCGATGCCCGATGCCCGATGCTCGATGCTGATGTCTGAATGCTCATGCAACAAAATGCTGCATGCGGCATGCAATGGGAAAAAGGGCGCCTTGCATGCAATGTTTTCTTTGGGTCTCTGGCACAACAGCAACAGCAACAACAGCAACAGCAACAAAACCAACAGCAAATCATAATCAAGCTGTGGCCCATCTTCCGTCTTGCATAAGCCCCACTGTACTGCAGAGTTTCACTTTTTTACAGTGTTGCCCAAATCTGTCGCTGCCGGGTTAATTAAAGCCAAAATAAGGCAACTAGCTGGCTACTCTAGCGGTAGCTGCGTTAATATATTAATTTATGCTAATTTTTGGCAGCAATCTTAAACTAATTATTATTAGCTGGCAGCGATATCAGTTTTGTGATTTGATTGATAGAAAGGCAAAGCAGCAGCCTTACAACACAACATCGCTTAGGTTAGGTAAGACCGGTTGTCGTCGATAGGATCAATTTGGATTCTGCTCAATTTATTGACACTAGCCGGGAGACTGAATCGAAAATGAGTCCATCCAGTTATGAATTTCGCAAGCGTACACTTAAAGAAAAAAGCTTGTGGCTTTCTAAAAACTTTTGTTTTGCATTTCTCAATTTTTGGATGGATTTTGATCAAATTTCGAAAAGTTTGTCTAATTTCCAGAGTGTAAGAATTCTTGTATTAGATTTCTTGTTATCAAACATTTATTTTATAAGATTTCACTTGTACAAACATTTTAGATAGTTTATAGATTCATATAATTTCATATATTTATTTGTATTATTCGGTTAAAATAGGAGCTTCCCAGAGAGCTAAATCTCTTCCTGGCGGGACCAAAAATAACTCTTCCGGGGTTTCCTCTACGTTCTCATCCTCATCATTATGGGAGGCTTGTTGCCTACATTCAACACAACACAATGTGCATAAAAATAGGTGTATTGAGAGCAAGTTGAATTTCAAAACGGATCACATTCATTGATATGCAGTTGTCGTTAAATTTTTGCCGGTCAACAGGCAAGGTACGCAATTGGCAAGGCATACAAAGCAGTGACTCAATTTCAACATTACTTACAACAAATATATTTTATTTTCAACACGCATTGTGTAATGATTGTCCCAAAATAAAATCATTTTGGCCGCATTACATTATGAAAGCGTTACAAATTTTGCTTTGATGGGACACATTTGCCAATTGGCCGATAGACGAGAGCTCCGTCATTTTGAACGCCCATCATCGTTAACAGTAAAATTGGACTGGGAAACCAGCTCACAATAACTATTGCCATAATCGGTCACTTTCAGATCCCATTTGTATGCATGAATCTCCATTTGAGTGCAGCAGTCAATGTCATCATAAAACAGCCACACACACAACACCTAAATGACAACTTGTCTTTTGTTGACCAAATGACATCATGTCATCAAATCACGTCAAGCGACCCACGCTCCGCCAATTGGCCAAAATGTATCTGCAGACTAGGCAAGAGAAATTTTCAGGAATTCAACGCAATTCTCGGAAACTCATAATTGGCTCGAGTTGAAAGCTGAAAGCCAATGCTAAGCAGGCCCATCGGCAAAACTAGCAGTCAATACATCAATTTAATGACTTCATTGAAAGCATTTTCGGCTCCAACAAATCATGCACGCCCCAAATATATTGATTTCGTTTCGATCCATTCTGCCATCGCAGAATTGCTGTAGGCTTAAGAAACAGAAATTGAGTTAGCAGCTGGACTAACGAATATCCTATACATTTCTAAGTAATAGTTGTGTTTTTAATTGGAAGAGCTGGAATGTGTTTTCTAATGGCACATTAACAATAAATAATCTGAGTAGGGATGCTTTGGCAGCTCGCAAATATTCTTAAGTGGATTTTTTGGGATCAAATTTACACCTGAGTACCGAAACAGAAAAGCAATTTCCATTTTTTGGCAGTCCAATAAGAAATTCGAGTCAGAACTTCGTTACTCATTTTAAATGCAGTATTAATCGACTTTTGGCAAAGTTATGGCCCCCATGGCAATTGTTCAACATTACAGGGTATTATCCGTGCTTAGTTTTTGATGTTGGACAACTAAATCTACGATTAGCGTTCCCAGGGCGTCGTATTGCAAGTCGGAGTCTGCACCTGCCAATGCCACAACAAAGTCCAAAAACACTTGACACCCGATACTCTACTCTCTACTCAGAAAAGGGAGGCCACAAGAGGAGGCCACAAGGGGAGGGGGCCGGAGGGGGACAGGCGCTGAGCTGATGATAAGTAGTGTGTTTGATAGTGTTCGCATTGCCGGCCTAATTGGGCTTTTATGTAGTAAATGTTGAATGTGTTGAGTGTGTTTTTACTTCCGCAACAATGCTTTGTCAAGTGTCAAATGCGTTTTACCGTTCAATTGACCGATCAACTTCCGCTCAACAAGAGCTCAATGCCAGACCACGTTAGTTAAATAAGTGTTTGTCTTTTTTTGTGGCCTATTTGGCTAACAAATCAAACGCGAGCAGTTTAACAACAACAATTTGTTAAAGCCCATTAAATCAACGCTGCTGCGTCTTTCATTCCGATTACGGCATTTGGTAGACTTTTGTGCCTTAATTTTTTTTGGATTTTGATTTCAGTTTTATTTTAGGTTTTTGTTTTCGATTGTTGTGCGTGCCCCTTGGGCAATTAAAAGCTGCACGATGCACGAAAGTGAATGTTGTATTGTGGGCCAGATGCGTCCCAAACGATTAGGTAAGGTCACGGGACGACAGCGATTCATTCATTAGCAGCCTTATTCACTTTGGCAACACACAACAACCACAACAACAACAACAACGACAACAAGAAAAACAAAAATCAGCAATGGCAATTTGTTTATATTTGTGCGCAACATGCCAAACAACACGAAAAATGTAAATGTTCACAATTCATTTTAAATATTTGAACGAGTGTTATTCAGGCCAGCCAAATGTATTCACAATTCACATTAAAAATAGTTGAATAAGTGTGATGTTAGACAGCGGCATGCTTTAATGATGTTTTTCTTTCTTTCTTTCCATTATTTATGGGTTCGTTGTAGGTGCTAAATGAGTCAAAGCCAGAAGTTTATGAGCGCGCGCAAAAAAAAAAAGAAGAAATATTCATATATAAATAAGAAACTGCTAAAATGTTGCTGCCTCAATGCCTCAATGCATTTAAAAAACAAATCATCCTTGACGCATGCACACCAAAAACGGCAGCCTGCACATGAATATCAACCAAAAACCGAGACAAAAAAAATCAAAATAAAAATAAACACAGCTTCCAAAAAAAATAAAGAATAAAAATGAAACAAGCCGTAGGACAGCGCACAAGGCAAGGCTGTATAACCATTTTTGGCCACATCCACAAAAAGCTGCTGCTTTTATTTATTATTCTTTTTTCTTTTTTTTTTTTGTTGAGAATTTTCAATTTGTTGTGTTTTGTGTGTGTGCATTTAACCCCTTGTTGCTGGCTGTTGCTTGCTGCTTGGCACTGGCTTTTGCACAGGTTCCTTTAAATTGACGTTTATTTCCAGACGACGACGTCGACAAAATTCGGACCGCAACAAAAAAAATGCGCAACTTTCGAAATTTTTAATGAGCACAAAATGTGTGCGTCGAGTTAATTTGCCGGAGCGTTTGAAGACACACACAGACAGCAACAGCAACAGCAACAGGAACGGAATGGAACGGGTTGGCCCTCCGTCTATATAATATGATACGTGTGTTATTTTTTTTTAGTTGAAAGATCGAAGAGACACCTACACTCACACAGAGAATACTTACATGCAGTCGTTGCATGACGTCATTTTGGCATTGGCATTGAACTGAAACTAAAGTTTGGCATGCTCTCGAAATGCTCCCACGTAGCCAGTGACAAGTCAATAAATAAACACATGTATACAAATATACAAATATATATACGATATATATAAAATATGCGGAACTGGCTTCCACTATATATAGACATGAACTCGCAAGGATAAGGTAAATTACCCAGGACAATCATTGAATTAAATATAGATATAAAAATCAATATATACATAGTATGTAAAATATATATGATTTTGAAATTTGTATTTAGTCTTTCTGCTCCCAATTGTTTTAAGTTATTTTCCATCTTGTTTAGCCTCTCCAGGTTAAAAAGAGACTCGATAACTGACAAGAACTAGTGGAGGCAACCAACCCTATACAAGTATATGTATACATATATAAATATATATAAGAAATATATCAATTACTTTCAATTATCCAAGTGCTGCCCCCGCTTAGCGTCTCCAAGTTAGAAAAGGATGCCATATATGCAGCGAGTGAGAGGGATATATACTGGCCAAAGACAGCAGATCGCCCAGAACAACGAGAGAGATTTGTGCATAGCGCACACTTTTCAAGCTGAAGAACCACATTAAATGACTACGAAATCCACACAGTTTTATTGGCCTCGTTATATCCATTTCCATATATTTTGTATATATTTCAATTTATTTATTTTAGATAGTTTTTCGTATAAAACTCAACTGGAGAGTGTCAAACAACTGATACGCTTCGAATAAAGTCAAAAGGAAAGCTGTAAGCAAAGTTATTTGATTCTAATAAATTACGTATGCATATTCTGGAATATTTTGCATTTGGCGAGAATACATAAATTAAAATTCCGCAACGGAATAAAAGATCAAAATTTATGCATCATAAAGAACAAAATTAAATTGTACGAATTTCAAATTTTTTAAAGCACAACCACATTAGCAATGCTAATGCGAGCTCCTCTTAGAACTGTAAGCCGAACCGATAATGAGCGACGGGGCAAACAGCATTTTTTTAAATACCAAAGAAGATACATTAATCTAAAAAAAAAAAAGCCAGCCATTCCCTCAAATATCCAAAGACGCTGTAAACTTTCACTAAAAGCTTACAAGTCTTAACCAAAAAAAAATTAAAATAAGATACAACATTGTAAGACCTTCTGAATTCTATTTCCGTTTGAGACACAACCAAAGACGGGCATCTTCTTTATCATCATCAGCATCATCATTATCAACATAATCATCATAATGGGCGTTTTTATTAACATTATAATTGGTTATTAATTTGCATCCAAATTCAAAGCACTCGCTGATCGAGGAGCTGAGCACGAAAGACTTGTGTTCAACAATAATAAAGATCGCCTAATGTTACCCAAAAAAAAAGATGGTTTGTTGCCGAACAAAGAAAGAAAGTCGTCAATAAGCCCATTTCTCATTTGTCTTAACTTAATTTGCGCACTCTTTGAACTCCAAGAAATTACTTCAATTATGTGCCAAAGGGTTACAGATCAGCTTATTGGTTCTGCATCGAGAACTACACTCAGAGAAAAATATATCGAGAATTATATGCAAATTAAAAAACAGGATTTGCATTTCTTAAATTTAGGTTGTAAAATTGAGAAAAAATTGCTGTTTTCTTTAAGAGAAATCTTATTGGAGCGAAACTCTAATATACCAGTTGAGAGACCGAAATTTCAATACTATTTTCTGAATTTGAGAAAGGATTTTATTCGAAAAATAAGGGATTGCCTTTCTACTTTTTAGAAATGCATTTCTTGATAATAGAAAATATTTCTGAAAATAGACAAAAACTGCATTGAGAAATTATTTTGAAAAGCAAGAAAAACTTTTTAGTTCTCAGGGGGATCTGAATTCTTATTCTGTGAGTGTATTAATTAGTTTGCTCTATGATATATGACTCAGAAATTCTCACGAATGCGTTGGCAGTCTAAACACACATATGTACATATATACACACATTCGCCCACATATAAAAAAATATATAAAAAAAGGCAACTTATTTGTGTAAGTGGAACAGCTCTAATGTTATTCTAGGGCCATAAAACTTCAGCATTCAGCTCGAGATCAGCGATTAGATTTGATATAGAATTGTATTGAATTATTCAAGACGTTATTTATTAATATTTAGTACAAAGTAATAAATAATTTAATACTAAATATTCAAGACGTTATTTATTAATATTTAGTACAAAAAATACTGCATTTAGTTTTGGTGTTTTTAGATCAATTTACAATCATTTGGTTATCAGCGTGTAAAGCGTAATTTTTAGGCTAGCTCTACTGTACTTGTTGCTCTCAAAAGGAATATACGTTAAATATATTTGTTTGTACATGTTGTGTTTGTAATAACAATAAATAAATTCAGCTGGAGACAGACACTCACCTCAGTTTGAAAGCTATTTGCGCAGTTCTAATTACAATACTTGTTGCACTTGTTGTTGTTGTTGCTGCTGCTGCTGTTGAATCAACAACTTGTTGCACTTGTTTGATCTTTTTGGAAAATCGTTCAACGATTCGCGTATTTTAATTAGTTAATCAAACACAGTCGATTTTTTTTTTTTTGGTTTTTTTGCTCCGAAAATTACCCCAAAAATCGTTTGCACAATTTAAGCGAAAATCACGATTTGTGCCGTTTTTGTTGTTATTTAGCTTTTTGCACTGCTCACAAAGTCGTTTGTTTTATTTTTAGTTGTGTATGTGGGTTGAGTGTAGGTGCGGGGGGTTTATATGAGGAGACAGATGGAGAAACAGTTGGGTTTTTTTTGTTTGCTATCGGTTCGCCTAATTGCAATAAGAGGTAGGTTGGTGGTGGGGGCGACGGTTAGTTAGCAGCTGGGCACGGCGCTGGCCAGTTCGTATATATATATATATATTTGAATCGTTGTAAGTCGCACACAAAAAATACACAAAAGCACACACCAACGAGGTGGGTGATGATGAGAGGGAACGCACGGCGTATTTGGGTTCACAGCCAGGTGAACACCGTCACGTCTAAAAGCCGACTGAGCCGACGAGCACGATCTCTGTGACTTCGAACTTCGACTCTGGTGAAGCGAGCTCGCGAGCAGAGAGCAAAGCTCAATACGCGCTGAGAGCTTAATGTGCTCTAGCAGTCAGGCACAGGCATGCAGTGCAACAGGTAGCCGGCATTTCTCTCTTCTTTGCATACTCTCAGAGAGTGCGACAGAAAGAGAGCTTAGCACTCATAGTGCTGGTGCGGGCTCAGTTTTTGTCATATCAACAGCGATGTAAACAAGTGAAACCAGCTCGCCCAAACATTCTTCGCTGTTTGTAGCTGCTGCTGCTTCTTCTTCTTCTTGCAAGACAAGCAAATATAAATATGGAAATTCTGTGAGCGAGCAAAAGCTGACAGACACGCTCAACACAGTTGTGTTGGCAGCGTACACTCAGAAAAAAACGCACATGTATTCGAAATATTCAGAAATTATTATAGAAAAACATATTGTCTAGCTATAATTTGTAAATATGATGGAAAAAATGTGTCAAATTTAGAAAGACTCGCCCCAAATCGACCAATTGAAAGACTCGCTCTTTTTTAGGGTGATTTACTAAAATATGGGGAGGTTTTGTTTTTCTGAGTGTAGGAAAAACAAACAGTAAGCGTGAGGCGAGAAGCGATGCCAACCTCCCAAGTCCAAGGAGGCAGTCAGGAGGCAGTGAGGCAAATAGGGTGTCTCCACACACACACCCAGCTCATCAATCACGATCTCGGCTAGTTATAATAATCGCTCGCTGCGTTCCATCACAAGTCATTACACTGGCTGTGGCTGCTGCGGCTGCTGCTGCTGCTGCCGCTGTTGTTGGTCGGCTTCACTAATTAATTCATCTTGAATACGAGTTCTGTGAATAAGAAGCGCTTAATCCCCAAGGCGTTTGTATGAAACTATTCTAGCAAGTGTCATAAACAAAGCAAATCGTTGGCAGATACTTCAGCAGGTAGCAAACCGAATAATATAATTCACAAACACACGCACACACTTCAATTTGAATATCACAGTAATTAATCAAAAAATGAAAAAAAAAATATATATACATATATATATATATATATTTATATACAAATAAATCATCAATCGTCATCGTCTTCAACGGTCAAGCAACTATAAAGCACCAAATGCTGAATTCGTCCCACGTTCATTTCACACTTTTTTCACCCATCTCCCTCTCTCTCTCTCTTCACAATCTCGTGCGTCAAGGAGTCCATTTAACTTTAATAAAGTTGTCAACGCACGAAATTGTCGTGTGAAGAAGAAGCATTCGCCATATCATTTTTTCATTTATTTTTTCTCGGCGCCAACGCTAAAAGAATCAAGTGGTCGTCGCCATTCGGCTCACGATTACATTCCTGTTCGACGCCGAATTCGAGTTCGAGTGCAATTGGTAACGGTAAATGCCAAACAGGTAAAAGCTCTTTCTTAGCATGCTGTTGCATGGATGTATTAATACCGTACGTCTAGCGCATCCCTTGAGCTTTTCATATTTGAAAGCTCTCTTAGACACGCGAAGCCTGGCAAGTGTAGCGCAGCTTTTTTCACATTCAGTATTTGTTCGGATTCGCAGCAGCAAAGTTTGCAAATGATTTGTTTTTGGTCCAAGGACGCGTCGAAGTGAAAGCATTCAAAGATAAATTTAAGATAAATAACTGTTAAAAATGTGAATTTTGGCAATAATTGTGCATATTTGGTGTCAAGCTTTTTATGCAACATAAGCGTATTGTTTTGTTAATTCTATTATTGTTAATGTCAAACGTTGCTCCACTCCATGAAACTATTTTTATATAGAAAGTTTATATATAACAAGACACGTGTGTATCTATATACTTTATGTCTATATACATAGATGTGATTAAAAGCTTCGAGCACAAGTGAAAACGAGAGCTTTATTCCCGTTACGCAGCAACAGCTGACTTAAACAAACCATTTATACACATGCACACACACACATAATAAGTGATAAATTCAATGGCGCTAATTCGCTGCTGCTTTGAGCCACCCGAACTGCCCGAGTTCTTCGATAGCTTCGTACAAAAATGCACAGATCCCAGTTGTAAGTATTTTACAAAAAGAAAGAAACAAAAACCAAACAAATAAATTAAACACAACAGGCGCACTTAAATTAGGCGCGCAACTATTATCGTGGTGGAGCAATGCTGTTAAGTGTGCAACGCAACCAACTTCATGTCATATGCCTTGCCAGATTGGCAAAACAAACTACAATTTCGAGGTGACAATATTATCAGGCATAGGCCGTATTTAAGCCAACTACACGCAATATGAAAATAAAACAAACATTTCAAATAGACAGCGGGCAGCATTATCATTAACGCCAGCTGTTAATGCAACAGTGCAGCCAACTTCATGCCAAATGCGCTGCCAGACCGGCAAATCCTACAGGCTGGCAACTCGGCGAAAAATAAAAGAAAAACAAAAATTTCGAGCAGACAAATAAAACATAAGCAAAGGCAACATAGTTATTATTATCGCTAGCGTTTATTATCTAACGTTGCGATAAAAAAGACAACAGCAACAAATAGTCAGCAAACATGCCTGGTGAGTTATATATATGGTTTAAAGGGGGAGCGAGAAAGTGAGAGCGAGAGTCTGACCTCCAAAGCGAAACGAGAATGACGCCATCAAAGTGCGACGAATGATGAGGAAGAGGACAAGACACACGGGGCAAGGAGTCGTCAACAACACGCGCCAAAGATGTGCCACAAAAGGCAAAACGCACAAAAACAGAACACAAACACACACACAATAAATGTACATATCACGCGACAGAGGTCAATTCGCTTAACGATTATAGTTGCGATAAGATAAGGTTTTGGCTTTGGTTTGGGGTTGGAACGGAGTGGGGCTGGTAGGGGGAATGGGAACTAGGAAAATGGTCGTCACACCCTGCTGCCCCAATTCCTGCTTTGACAATAAACAGTCGCTTTTCGCCATTAGCAAAGTGCACAACTCAAACACACTCAGCCAAAAATTTGCAATCTTAGCGATGACGTCGTCGTCATGTTTACCTATCGTTGCATTCACATTTGCCTGCCAAATCCCTCTAATCACTGTGCCTTTCCCTGCGCCCTTCTAGGCTGCTGCGGTTGCTGTTCAGCGCTGCGTCCACGTTACAAGCGTCTTGTGGACAACATTTTCCCAGTGAATCCGGAGGATGGCTTGGTCAAGTCGAATATGGAGAAGTTGACCTTCTATTCGCTCAGCTCGCCGGACAAACTGGATCGTATTGGCGAATATCTTTACCAGAAGGCCACCAAAGACATCAATCGCAAGCGCTACAAGTGAGCAATTAATTTTCATATTATTATTGCTTATTTATTTATATCCACAGACTGGCCGAGATTGCCATGGAGGCCATGGATCTGTTGCTCCAAGCTTGTCATGCTCAGACCACACTAAATCTGTTTGTGGAATCATTTTTGCGCATGGTTCAAAAACTGCTCGAGGATTCGAATCCGAATTTAAAAATAATGGCAACCAATTCTGTAAGCTCAGCTCCATCTTGATAACAATACACACATTAATCATCTGCTGCTTTTTCTGCTCCTCCAGTTCGTCAAGTTTGCCAATATAAACGAGGACACGCCGTCGTATCATCGACGCTACGATTTCTTCATCTCGAAATTCTCGTCCATGTGCCACAGCGATAGTCAGGATTTGCGGGATAGTCTTCGACTTGCTGGCATCAAGGGATTGCAGGGTGTCATTCGGAAGACGGTCTCCGACGATCTGGTCGAGAATATTTGGGAGGCACAGCATATGGAAAAGATTGTGCCTTCTCTGCTATTCAATATGCAGGTGAGTCATTATTTAATTTCAATTATTAATTAAGTATTCATTTAAAATATGAAAAATTGGCTAATCGAAGAAAAAACGTGTAAAATTTTAAACTAATTTCGTTGTTTTCGTATATTCTGTTAATGCAATCGAATCGTATATTGAACCCAATCCAAAAAAAAAAATAAATATATAAAAAACACAAACACACAACAATAATAACAATGACAACAACAATAACAACTACAACAACAACATCAACATCTAATACACAGTTTTGTGTAAACGTTATGTTTGTGAAGAAAAATTTACTGGCGGTAATTGAAATATTTCAAATTGCATATTAACTACTAACTATAACTATATTCTTTCTATAGCCTCTCTATAGTCTCTCATCTGCTGCGAGGGTAGACCCAAAAGTACTTTGGCCACTATGAGTAGTAAGAGGGAATATTTACGACATTAGATGATGTTGAACTCCCTGAAATACAGCAATGGATCGTGCACAGACCTCGAACATCGTAGCACGAATCCCTAGGCACGTACACCAGCATATTTCTAGCCGATCTATGAGCAATAAGCGAGTGCAGTTTGCAGACCTTAATTGGAAACGTATCTATCGGTACAGTCGGATATACATATAGAGAGAGCGACAGACAAGCAGGAGAGAATGGTGGCAGATAGGCTACAAGATGACCAGGAAGGCACCTAAACGAAGAAAGGCCGAGGCGATAATTGAACTGGGCGGAGTCACCAAAGAATAACAACGATTTAAGCAAGAAATAGACTTGGAATACTTATTGATTGTTGGATAGCGCATTATTAGCTAAGAAGACAACGCTAGCCATAATGGGTATAGTCAGAAGCGAACTCTATCGATGAGAAAGTAAGTCCAAAGCACATCATAGCAGATAGATAAAGATGTAGTCCATCTAGGGAAGCCCAGAATGGCACAATAGATCGATCTAAGATGTGGCATTGCATTAAATAGAAGCCAGAAGCTTGTCAGTTACTTCTGGGCCTACCCTCGTTTACTTCTATATATATTCAGCTAGCTTTATAGCTTTTCTCACTGGCCCCAGTAGAAGAACGTATTATTAACGTTGCACTCTCTCTCTCTCGTCCCCATTGGCAGTCGGGTGACCTGACACCCGTTGAGGATGCCACCAATGTGACGCCGCCAGTGCTGGCCGAGGAGGTGCTGCGCGAACTTGTGGGCCGTGCCTCATTTGGACACATACGCAGCGTACTAAAACCGCTGCTGACGTGAGTATTTCCACTTAGTAAATGCTGTAATAAGTATTCAGTCTCCATTTATGCCAATCCAATTTGCTAATCGTAGTCATCTGGATCGGCACGAGCTGTGGGTGCCCAACACCTTTGCCATCCACACGTTCCGCATTGTGATGATCTCGATACAGCCACAGTACTCGTACACCGTTGTGGAGACCCTAATGCAACATTTGGACTCTAATTTCAAGTCGTCGCCTAAGACACGCACCTCGCTGGCCGTTGTGCTCTCCAAGATCATTGCCATTGCGGCAGGCGAGAGTGTGGGTCCATCGGCGCTGGACATCATTAACAATCTGCTGACGCATTTGCGGACCAGCGTCAGCACCACAACGGAAATAACACCGGAGGAGTCACAGTACCAGGAGGCATTAATCAATGCGTTGGGCGAGTTTGCCAATCATCATCCAGACTATCAGAAGATTGAGATCATGCTGTTCATCATGAACACGGTGCCGGATCTGTCCAAGAAGAGCAAGGGCGATCAGATGCTGCAGAACATACTGCTCAAATCGCTGCTGAAGGTGGGCAATCAATACAGCACCGTCTCCTTTGAGAAAGCCTTTCCCGCCTCGTTCCTGCAGCCGCTGTTGCGAATGGCACGTGCTCCACACGATCCCACCCGCATGATTGTAATGCAGATATTCCAGGCTCTGTTGGATCGCCACCAGAACGAGCAGGTGCTCAGCAGTGTCAGTGTCAAGCCGTATCCGGCTCTCTCCCAAGAGCCACCCTCACGCTCCGACATCATCTTCACGCACAAGTACGGAGCGAACATTATGCAGGCCCTCATCGACAGCATGGCGCTCTCGGATCGCGTGGATGCGCTCTCCGCCAGCTACAACACAGCTGCGCTGCTCATCGTCGAGATGTCCTGTAGCGAGACGGTCCAGGAGTTCTTGCTCTTCATACTGGGGTAAGCGTATATCTGTACTAGAGTTCTAATGGAACACAATTAGAAGTAACTCAATTTACTAAGAGGAAACCCTCACTTTAACTTCGAGCTTATTTTGAGATGCAATGAATTAGGTTCTTTTCTAGCAGAGTTTAATTTAATCTCTTTCATCTATATCTTTGCAGCATACAGCAAGTGGCAAGCACTCTGGAAACGTTGGGCGCTGTGCACCGCTGCAATTTGCATGGCATCTCGATAGCGCTGCTGGTGCTCATCTCGCGCGTGAGTGGCATCAACAGTCTGCTCGAGTACGCCCAGAAGATAATTGAGGCGCGACGCGAGGAAGCCACCTACTATTTGCCGCCACTGCTCGACCCAAAGAAGGTGTCCAGCAGCAGTAAAAACCTGAATCTATCGCTTCCCCATCTGGCCATCGATAAGTTGGCGCTGGGCGAGTGTATGCAAAATGCGGGCATGGATGCACAGCGTCTGAATACTGGAGCACCGTACACACTCAATCAGACAGATCATCCGGGTCATCGGCACTCGTGGGTGGAAACGGTTAGCAATCAGAATGCGCAACGCAACAGTTCCGCCGATCTGACCGTTTACAATGGGGATGTAGACAGCGTGAGCAGCTCCCCGGGTGTCTCCAAGAAAGCCCTCTCTCCGGAGTTCAATTTTGATGCAATGAAGCGAGCGTTGGCCGAGCCAACGGAGGCCGTGAAACGGGAACAACGCGAAAAACAAATGCAAATAGTGCGCACATTCCGTGAGGGTGAATTCGATGATCTGATCCGACGCACCGAACCGAAGGTAGATGATATAGCAGTAAACCAATCCATAGCTTCTACTAAATATTTCGCCTGTTTTATTTGCTCGCAGCACGATCTCATCCAGAATCGTTTGAATGAGCTCTTCAACTCGCTAGCCGTGGAGCGCCAGATTACCCAAAGCGACAACAAGACAGCCCTGCAGAGTGAGAAGCCCGTCTATGAGACGAAATTTCCCGAGCTGTTCTACTACTAACCTACCTATAAGCTATGGTAATAAGTAATGCTGCCAGCTCGGGGATTCCCCCGGTTCCCCCTGGTTGCAAATAATAGCTAAATTATTTGTACTTTTCTTCTTCTGGGGTAGGGTAATAGTTTTTTCTTGACCACGACAAACCCTTTTGCTTTTTTGTTATTAAATGCACTAAATAGTATTGTTATTAATAAATACATATACCTCGTTAAATATTCAGAAAGAAAGACACTTAATTGTTTATATAAAAAGTTCACACATTTAATATGTGATATTTATGCGAATTTTGTGTAGCAAATAATAACGAAATTATTTGTAATTTATTTTTTGGAGGCAGGCTAAAAGTTCTTTTTGTTTCCTTCTGTTATTAAATGCACTAAATAGTATTGTCATTAATAAATACAGATGCCTTGTTAACTATTCAATGAGAAAAACAATGATTTTTATATGCAAATAATCGCGAATTATTTATAGTTTTTGTTCTTCTTTTGATTAATAAATGCGCTTAAAGAGTATTGTTATTAATAAATACATATTACCTTGTTAACCATGCAATAAAAGACGCTTTTTTATAAAAAAGTTCACACATTTAATATATGTAATAATTTAGTGAGGTTAATTTAACTGATTTTTTTGTTTGGGGGCGTATTTTTAGCGGACACTTTTATAATTAATTTAATGACGCAAGCGATTACGTTTGAGTTCGACAGCCGCCTAACTAGATTATCTGGATTATACGTACATAAATTACAAAAATCATATATATATTATGTAGTCTATATATATATATATATAGAGAACACCGATGTGCGAGGGCGCACATTGAATATTGTTGCAAGTGCATTTAAACTTAAATTGAGTGTGTTACAAACTTAGAGACTATCTGCTTGCTAGTAGATAATGTAAAAGATATACAAAAAATATATATATTTATGGAGAAGAGTGTGCAAAGAACAATGTACAATTATTTAAGGCGTATATATATATATATAGGGAGTATATATATATGAAAAGCGGAAAACGAATGTACAAACTATATGTAAAAAACGAGACTCGACTCGAGTAGAGGTGCTTGTTGCACAGATGAGAGGGCGGTGTTTGGGGGCATGCAACGTGCTCAGCACGCCACGTCGCGACACAAGGGCTCCCCGCCAACGTCGCTGGTCGTCAGTCGCGCCGCCCAGCTAAAGCGGCTAGTTGGCGGCGGAGGCGATGCATCCGAGTCGCCGCCAGCACTGCTGCCACCAACACAAACCGCTGAGTCATCCGCGCTGCCCGGGGTCAGGGAACGTTCACATGTGGCGCCGCCAATCTCCGAAATGGGTATGGTTGTCGTCGGCGAGGAGGAGGAGGACGATTCCTCGACAAGCAGCGGGACAATCTCCTTGAAGCTCTGATTCGGTGGCATCACGACCAGCATATTGATAGAGATGAGCAGCGGATGCACCAGCTGTGAATCGAGCACCATCAAGGAGACCTCCTCATTCTTCTCCAGACTCAGTGTAATGATCTCCGATCTCTGACTGTGCACAGGCTGTCGCTGGGCATTTATCGAGGTGACCGTGGTGCGTATCATAAATTTCCGCTTTGTTTGCAGGCTGAGCACACGTTCATGTTCGTGTCGATGATGACGCCGAATGTTGAGTCGCCTTGAATCCATGATGAGTATCAGATCCATGCCATAGTTAAAGCCCGTCCAGCGCCACTTTTGATAGCCGGGCTCAAGCAGCAGGCGACCGCAACGCATGCAATTCTCCAAGAACTCCTCGTTGTCCAGCTGCTTGGGACTGCTATAAATATGGATATGGAAAACAAATATTGAGTATAAGTGGAGCAAAAATGGAGTACAAATGAAGCACATAAATCTATCAAGTCAAGAACAAGAAAAAATCTGAACAGAAGCAGCTAGTTACCTATCGTCCTGGCCATGATCGATGCGCAGCAGGGCATCCCAGTGGCTGTGGATGTGTCGATAGAGCCACTCCTTGGGTATGATATTATCATTGAAGATGATCTTCAGGTCCATATAGTGATTAGTCAAATACTGAGTGCGCAGCCGCTGAAAGACACGCACATAGGGCTGACCCTCGGGCGTGGCCAGAAATGAACGCTCCTCCATGCGGCTAGCAAAGTATGTCCACTGGACAACATCAACGCTGGGCGTGTGAGTTTCGACGCCAGCATTAACTAAACGTTCCTGTTGCTTTTGGGCCTCGGCACGCTGCACGGGATCATCGGGATCATAGTGCGGATGCAGCTGAAGGAACATCCAAGTGCGGAGTAGGGTATATAACGAGAATTCCGTTTGCATCACATACAAATCGGAGCTGGCCGTGAGTAGATACATCAATTCGATTGGTATATGTCGCAGCAGATTCGGTTGTTTGCTGTAAATGCTGAGCAGATTGAGTTGGAACCACTTGAAGGTGGCCTTCTTCACGAGCATGACACCATACTGGCAGGCAGCCTCATAATAGTGTATGGCTGTCTCCGCATTAATGCTGTCCACCATCACCTCGGCACACTTATCAATGATGCCGTCCAAATGGAAGAGTGTCGCCGTTGCCAACACAGCTATTACATCCTTCATCTCAATCTCAATTTCATCCGAATACATCGAGCCAAATACGGCATCCACACTATTTACATTAATCCGATCGTCGAGGATTTGGATGTGAACGAAATTCTGTTGGGATTCCTTCCACGAACCGTTGAACATGCTGTAGAAATAGGGACTCTGACTGAGATACACTTTGTGCAGATGCCACACCTTGTCCAGGGCCATTACAGCCACATCCGAATTCTTTTGCTCCTTGAACAGTGCTTTATATATATACTGTGTCGTTGTCAACAGCTTCTTTCTACAAAAGATTATCGCATGAATATCGCATATATATTCACTTCTCTGCTCTTCTCTACAAGATTACTCACTTTTTTGGGGATTGTGCCTCCAATTTGGCCCTTTCGATTTCTTCTTGGTTTACAGTTGAATCCTGGCTACGTTTCCGTTTGCGTCGCACACCGCCAAAAACCTCGGCGACATTTGTCTGCATGGATCCAACAATTTGGCCCATTGTTCTTTGACTTCCTTTCTCTCTCCCGCTGAGAAAATGCAAAAAAATATAAAATACTATTGATATTGACGCATTATGTTTATTTGTTGTACGTTTCGGTTCTAAATTTCTAGCAGGCACTGTAAGCGACTATTTTGTTGGAGTATTTTGACAGGTTGCGTGGCAATGTTAATTGACCCACATTTTTATTAGTCGCTGTTAACTCCCACTTCTAATTTCCACTTTCACCACACAAAAAGCGCGCCCAACTTTAATGGGGTCAAATTGTTACAGTTAGAGCGAGACAGAAAGAAAGCATTAGTGTGTAGGCGTCCTGTGAGCTTTTATTTTTTGGAAAATGCATTGGATTCCAATCAATGTTCAGATCGGTGAACAGCTGTAAAGCTCAACAGATGATGTCACCCGCCCAGTAAACAGAAACAGCCTTCAAAGCAGCAGCAGAAGGGAGCGTGGTCGTGGGGGGGGGTGGTTTGGCTGTTTTATAAATAGAACGAATTCGAATTCGATTTCGAGACGCGATAAACAAAGAGTTCATCAAGTTGCAGACACGCACACTTAAACAAACAATTGTTTATGTTTTTTATGTTTGTTGTAAGCGTGTCAAGGCCATTTAGAAATAAAAACTAAAGCTTTGTGTTTTGTGTGCTTTGTTTACATCATGTTCGCAATAGGCTTGGAAATTACGCACTCATCCACAGTCTCTTTTGCTCTCCCTCTCTCTCACACACACATACATAGAGATATTTAAGTTTTTGGTGCGGCGCAGTTGAAAACCAGTTTTGGGCACACTTTTCTTATAAGAAACAAAACTAAACAAAAACCAAGCAATTCGATTGCAACGCCAGCGATGATTGCGTCATAGCAGAAGAAGAGAGAGAGAGAGAAAGAGCGCAGAGAAGAGCGCCATTTGTTTTGTTGTTACTTTTGATTTCTGATGATATCACATATCTTTGCAGACCATCTCCCTCACTCTTGCAAGCGTTGCATTTAAAAAAGAAAAAAAATTACTGTTGCCCGAATAGTTAAGGCCAAGTAACGTGGAGTTAAATCGTCAAAGAGGCCAACAAGTTCGGGCGCAGACAGAACTCGATTCGAGATTTGAACCCGGAACACCTGCAAATAGGAAAAAGTCAAAACGGTTAGAGAACAGCACCATTTCCCAAGAACTTTTTGTCTATTGCTAAGAGAAAAGATGGCGTTGTGATAGATTTCTATTTAAAACATATTAATATCAATTTATAACATTTTAATTTTAATTTTTAACTTTTCGCAGACTATATATTTCATAGTATGCAAATTAAAATACAGATTCATTTAAATTTTAACTGAAGCATTTAAACTTATTTGTTTTTTTTAATTAAGTTTTATTTCTGATTCACTTCCGACTAAAAATCAAGTTTGCTTAATTTAAATGCATCATAAAACTAGAAATAGATTAAAGTAATAAAATATCACACAATTCCAATGCCTTGCAATTCGCTTCGAAAATGTGCCTTAGCTTATTGAACATTGTAAAAATACAAACACATACACACATATGTATATGCGCCTACCTCTGTACATACACACACATACATGCGTGGTATTGTTTTGCATGCATCTGTTGTTTCTCAAGTAAATATTTCATAAAAGAGAGCAAGAAACGTGAGAGAGCTTGGCAAAGAGAGCGATTTTAAACCGAAGCTCAAACAGCGTATTTTGGCGTGGGCGTCTCTCTCCCTCTCTCTGTTTACGTCTCATCAAAAGAAGAAGAGCAGAAGCGTGGGAGAGCTTAGACGAGAGAGCGAACGATTTAAAGCCGAAGCTTATTTGATGCACTCTGTTTCTTTGTCTCACTCTCTCCTTCTGTTCATTGCAATGCTTGATTAATCGTGGGAATAGAATTAGATTTTCGCATCATTAGTTTAAATATTAAAAAGTGTAAAAATTGCTTTTCATTTGTGGAATAACAAATTACATATATATGCATATTAATGTTATGCAAATGTAATGTTTTATTCAGAATGCGTCCAATTCAAAGAAACTGATAAATAAATAACGTATGTAAAAGCAGAACTGAGTTAAAACAGACTGTTTACCTACTGCCTGTGCCTATTAAAAGCTTTTGCTGCTGCGATGCACATTTACAATTTGGCTGTCCCTTTTACTCGTTGTCCTTAGATGCACGCACACACTCACACCCACATGTACACAAGCGTCGCGGATAGACGACTAGAAAGGAGAAGCCAAACTCAACAGAAGATTGGAAGTCAATTGGTTGATTTTAAAATTGGTGGTGAGCAACGTAAAAGTAATATAAAGTTGGAATTTAATAATTGAAAGGAAAAATCGCAGTCGAATTGCGTGGGGCTTTTTTGTGCTGCAATCTGATTGAGCGCAAATTTTATTATTATTTTTGCTTTAGGCGACACACTCTTCAAATTATGATAGATAAATATAAAGTCATAAATAACGCTTGTGTTCCATTTGTTGTGTTAAAAAGTGAAGTGTAAAGTTAATAAAATTAAAATACTAGCAGAGATTTAATATTATTATTATTTAATAGTCGGGCATGCTGGACTAGTTTATCAAAGCAAATTGGATTTACAATTGTAATTATTTGTCGCATAAGAATCCAATTAGGAAACAGTGTTAAAAATGGCAAACGACTGCCGTAAACATTTGTATGTTGTGTGTTAAGTTTTGATAAAGTTTATTTTGATACCAATTCACACACACAGACACGCATACATATGCACGTAGGTTCAGCGAACTTGAGGGAGGGCGAGACAGATATAGCCCCAGACACGATATGCACAGCTGTTCGGCTGAGAGCAGACAACAAAACGGTCTGATTGGTAAAATGTGCTTTCTTTTGATTTGCTTTGGCTTGGGCACATTTGAATCTTCACCTTAAATTTACTTTTACTGTTGTTTAGCGCTGATAGCGTCAAAGTTTATAGAGAAACACACACACACTCATACACACATACATGCATACATTGCCGAAATAGTCGAGTGTAGAAAATATGCCAAACGAGATTGTCAACAAATCCCAATGACCAATAAACACTGCGCTCGCTCTCCCTCTCTCGTTCGCACTCTATCTCTTTGATACTGGTGCAGTGGATGCTCTTGTAACAGTTAAAACGTCACTATAAATAGCAAAGCAAAGTAAATGTTAAGCACATGTGGGAGAGAGGGAGAGACGAGAGATTAGTAAGTAGTAGCAAATGAAAACAACGACGCAGTAATAAACAAAGAGAGCCGCTCTCTCATCTGTGTTGCTCAGTGCGTGAGAGACCGAAAGAGAGCGTAACAAAACAAGACGCAAAATGCAACAACAAAACTCAAGATACACACAGACACACATTCACATACGCAAATAGCAGCCTGATAAAACAAACGAGAAAAAAAGAATGCAATAATAATGCACACACTTACTGTAAATGGGAAGTTACAGTTTTTTTTTATGTAACTGCAATTTGGCACTCACTTTTTATTAATTGAATATATTATGTATGTGTGAATTTACATAAAACAATTGCACTTTCAAAATCCTATTGCAAATTCAGTAATATTAATGCAAATACATTTTTTGCGATATGCATGCAAATTTTTTGTTTTCTTTGTCAACACTGCGCGTACAGCAACCGCTCCGTTCCGCGTATCAAAAGCAAGTCTGTTAACCATTGCTGCTCAATGTCCCCCAAGGAAAAAGAGCAGAAAAAACAGAAACATTTTTAATCAGCTAATGTTAAATTAACATCGCTGTTATCATTAACATCACTGTTATTTGTGTTATTGCAACAATAATAATTAATGTTCTCTTATTATTTATTAGTCATTAGTATTACTAATCAAATTAAAAATTGTGCTAAATACATAACAACAAATTCTTTCAGCTTTGTTTCCCACTTCTCAGTTTTGAAAAAGAAAAGCAATAATTTGAATTTTACTGCAGTTATGAATGTTATCAGCTATAATTATCTAAACGTAACAAGAAGCGGTGTTAAATCCAAAATGTAAACAAAGCAGTGAAAATGTGATGGTTTGGCGATAACGCGATACCCTTTAATCGTCCATTACTAACATTTTTTGCATTTAATAATTAAAATTGATAAAAATATTCTAAAATATATAAAATTGTTGAACGAAATTCAACTGAAAAATAAAATACAAACTGAATGAATGTCGCAGAAACAAAATGCACTAATTTGAATTTCACAGCGTCGCAATAGCAATAAATAACAACACTGTTAAATCCAGAATTCAAATGCAAGCAGTGCAAAAGTGGTGGTCTGCCGATAGCACAATACTCTTTAATCGCTCATCCCTAGCTTGCATTTGAAAATATAAAGTTGATGAAAATACAACTAAAAAACAAAGGACATGAAAGTGCCGCAAAAGAAACCACAACGTGCAGCAAGTGGCGAGACGACGCCCCAGCGCCGCAAAGCCGAATCCAAAGAGGAGGCGGAGCCACCACTGCCTATGCTCGAAATTGACGACGACATCGAATCGGAGCTGCCGATTCGGGGACGTCCCTCGAAGAAGCTGTTACTGCAGAAGCAACAACAGCGCGCCCAACTGCAAGCCGCTAAACTGCAATCCGAGCAAAAGGATTCCCCTTCCACTGCAACATCATCATCCGTATCCGCATCACCATCCGCAGCCGCATCTTCAACTGGACGCAGCAAAGCGAAACGTTCGCTATATAAAAAAGTCGATAATCAAACGGGAACAAAACCGCACAGCGAATCCTACGTGATGCGTTTATTTGATCGCAGCTTAGACTTATCCAAATATGAGGATAAAACGCCGCTTTATCCGATTTGCCGGGCGTGGATGGCCAATCAGCCGCGTAATCCCAATGTGGCCATTTACAAAACTGACGGCTCGGTACCCATCGTCAAGCGGGAAGATAACGCCGAAGAGATTTTGGCCCAGTTGCGCAGCGGCGAATTGAAGGTTGTCAAACAGATGCCGAAGCCACGTGACACGGACATGGATCCGATACCACAACGACTGCCACAGCCAAATCACAAAGATTCCGGCAATCTGGAAGGTGCCAGCAAAGACAAGCTGCTCGCTTCCAATATGACGCACTGGAAGCAGGTGCGCTGCCATAGGCTCAAACATGCCCAGGCATACGAACGTGCCCGTTACGAGATAATCAATCAGATAATTGACGAGGTCTGCAAACACAAATAACCAATTAGATAATACTGTAATAATAATAATAGTAATGGATAATTCATTTCACTTGAATAAATTTGTATTTGATCAGCTGTCGAAATTGCAACAAGATCGATTTATAAACACGGGCAGCAGAAGTACACAAATACATACAAACAAACATACATATGTATATGTTCATACGCTAGAGCAGAGAGTCGAGAGAGCTTGGCAGAAGAGAGCGATTTTAAGCAGAAGCTCAATCTCTCTTTCTGTTGGGGGCAGTAACTTTGAAGAGAGAGCGAACGATTTTAAGCCAAAGCTCAATCAGTTTGACGCCTTATTTTGAGCACTCTTTCTCTCTGTCTCTTTCTGCATTGAGTGAGCTCAAACACCAGCAGCGAACTAGTGAATGACTCTTCTACCTTACCGAATGCATTCTCTATGCGCAAAATCTGATGCTCTTGTTAGCAGAGTTGTGTAGTGAAAAATAGAATATATTTATGTTTATATTTAGAATGTCCTCAAAACTTTTTTTATGCAAGAATGCAAGAAGCGGATCTCAATTGAAGATTCGAATTTAATTAGCCGCTGATTTATAAGATGATTATTGACTTCGCTTAGTTTTTCATTTGAATAAATGTTTATTTGAATGCGTAGTTTAAATGCGTTTGCCATTTTCAATAATCTGTATGTATTTTGTTATAATTATGTCTAATTTAAATTGTTTTGAATCGAGAATTCAAATGCTGTTGGATTGTTCTTGTTTTGGTTCCTTCTTCTCCGTTCCACTCTCTTCCTCTCCTTCGTTGCTGTTGCTGCTGCGACTGCCAAAGCACATGTTGTGTGTGTGTGTATGTGTGTGCTCACGCATACGCAGTGACTCAACACATACACAGATACGAGTTGCGCTTCGGCTGTTTTTATTCGCTGCAGCGACGAGTGCCGACTTATTCGACCTTGAGCAACTCGACATCAAAAGTCAAGGTGGAGTTGGGGGGAATGACACCGGGATGACCGCGACTGCCGTACGCATAATCCGGCGAACAGATCAACTTGGCACGTTGTCCAACACTGAGCTGAGCAACGCCCTCATCCCAGCCACGAATAACTTCGCCCTTGCCAATGGTGAATTTAAAGGGCTTATTGCGATCCCGCGACGAATCAAACTAACGTGAGAAAAGAGTGCAATAATAACATTACTGTTAACATATCTAATTTATATACTCACCTTGGTGCCGTCGTCCAAGGTGCCCGTGTAGTGCACCGATACTTTTTGGCCATTCTTTGGGTAGGTGCTACCTGTAAATAGACGAATGCAATTGCGTGCATGAGTGAGATAGCTATACTTGTGTGCATATGTGTGTAGAGAGAAACGGATACGAAAAAAGTTGCCGCAAATATTAGCTTAAATCGAGCGAAATAAACAACACAAAGTCACATATTAATTTACTTACCATCGCCGGGTGTAATTGGAACAACTTGTACGCCCATTTTTATGCTAAATTTCTTGCTTCTCTTTAATTGGGGGAATGCCTGAAAAACTTTTAGCACGTTTTCTCGTCGCTTCGAACTGTAAAAAGCAGTGATGGCAGCGTGTAACCAAACTATCGATACTGAATCAGACACGCTATCGATATATACACACTGAATACAAATGCAAAGGCGCGTCCAATTGTGAAGATTGAAAATTAAATGTACTTTTTATTCAAACTGTATACCCTGCTCGTTAATAATTATGTTTTGATTATTTAGCGTGCGCCTGCCTTTTTTGTACAAATTCAACTGTAATTTGTGATCGATTGTTATGCCCCTGAAGGGTGCATATCGATTTTTTAGATAACTGTTATCCACTGTCCACATGCAGCACACATGGAATCGTTTGGAGATGCGGTTTATTCTTTCCAGCCAACTCACATAGTATCGATACTTGCGCATGCGAGTATTTGGCGCCAAATCAAACCAATAAAATTCACACAGACCATCGACGGCAACCAAACTGATCCGCTCATTATCGAGCAGCAAATGATGATCGAGAGTTTTTAAAGCCATTCGTGCCTGTCGTGATGAAAAACAATTCACAATTTCCAATGAGTCCAAACACTTTGCGAATATCTCTTGTAATTTGTCGGCTGTTGCATTTGGATTCTCCGTGAGAACAACACGCTTAACAATTCCACCCAGTAGCTGCATATCGATTTTCTGATTGAGATCGATTAATATAACATCGCAATGAGGCAGGCAATGCGCCACAAGTTGCATCAAGAGTAAACTTTTGCCACTGTTTCGCCGGCCGGAGATTTCGACAAGAGAATTGCGTTGGAGGCCGCCTTCGATGAATATGTTGGAATTCAAACCGGATATATTTGGCCGCCGTTCGCCCAGTTGACGTAGATAAAGATTGGCACCAGATATGATCTCCATTAAATATTAAACATTAATTAAATGACGTTCGTAAAGAGTCGTGCTTGAATTTGCCTATCGACACATGTGTCTAGTGTTGAAGAGCGGCAGCTATCATTACGGGTGTATGCGATATATCGATAAATGAGTGCAGTGCTGTAAAATGCCAACTGCAAATTGCATTGCTGATAAAAAATAAAATAAAACTAAAGCGTTAAACAAAACAACTGTAGTTAAAATAAAAGCAAATCAAAAAAATTAAATTTGGAAAAAAAGCAAAACAAATAACAGATAAAGAAATGCATGGGCTGTGTGGTAACTCTGTGCCCTGAGCATAACTCGTAAAAAAACAGCACACATGTAGTTTTCCTATTGTTTGTAAGGATTACTCTTTAACAAACGTACGCAAGGATGCAGGATACACCGGAGCCGGCGTCGAGCAGCAGGCCGGATACGTCAGAGAACACGGGATTCGATGCGTGCTCTATCTGCGCCAGTCCCAAATCCATGTCTTCCGCTCTCCTCGATCTGAGCGGCAACTCTGTTATGCAGCGACGCCTCAACAGAGACTGGAAGTTACCGGTAAGCAGAAGAATTTCAAGGCTAATCATTCGAAGCTAATCATTCCAATTGGAATTGCAGCCGGAGATTATCAAGATGACGCTGCGTGCAATTTGTGTGGAATGCGTTTGCAAGCTGAACATGCACTCGGAGGTGACACGCTCCTTGATGCAGCGTCTCCAACGTTTGACATGCGCCGGCGGCAAGTTGCCCACTGCACGTCAGAGTAGTCCACCCATTGCGGACGCCGAGGTCTCCACAACAGTTGCTCCACTCGCACAGGAGGAGATTCATCCAGCTTCATCGAGTCACTCGTCGTGTTCGGTGCTGCAGGCTTACTCCGCACAGCCACCGGAATCGCCGACAGCGACGGAGTCGGGTGGGCAGCGAAACTCTGCCGCCTTGGATGGCTGGAAGTGGCGCACGCGGCTCATTTGTGCGCATTGCGAGCGTGCCTACTTTCGTAGGGATCTATACACGCTGCACATGCGTCGCTGTTCGCGTCGTCGTCGTCATCATCAGCAACAACATCGTCCGGCCGTGTGCCGTGTGCGCAACGAGGCAGAGGAGCAGCAGCTGGAGGAGGAGCACCAGCTGGAGGAGGATCTGGTTGATGAGGCGCGTCAATCGCGTACCTTTCAATGCCGGCACTGCGAGAAGGAGTTCGCCGGCATTGTTGCCATGCGTCAACATCAGCGGATCACCCATCAAAGTGTGCATCGCTGTAATCTCTGCGAGGCCGAGTTCGGTACCAAATACGAGTGGGAGTTGCATCACACGATCTGCAGTGCCAAGCTGGAGGTAAGTGCTCCCAATTTGCCAACTGCTGAACTATAAATTTCACTCTTCCTTGACAGGCTTTGGCGGAGCAAGCAGCCCTTAATCAGCCAAGATCGACGCGCTCTCGTTCCCGAGCTCGTTCCCGAGCTCTTTCCCACGCCTGGCAGCCAAGCACCGACGAGGAGGAGGAGGAGCAGGAGGATGAGGAGGAGCAGGATGAGGATGAAGAGTACAACGGTGAGGATGATGACGATGCCACCTCCGTGGCGGATACAATGTATACGCGTCGCATGAATTTCACCGGCGACTGGATCGTCAACCATAGTCGGAGCAATAGCAACAGTGCCCTTAATCTATCCATGCTCTACGATGACTATGTGCTCGAGGAGTCGCACATAACCACAGAGAAGGAGTATGGTATGGCGACAAATTAACTTTGATCCGAATTATGCTGTCAGTTCATTATCAGTTTACCATAAACTCCATTTAAGAAATTAGTCAGGTTGAAAGATGTAAACTTCAGCTAATTTATAGAAGTTTAAGAGTTCTAGTAACTCTACTGATAACTCTCGTTATTTGGTTGCTGGATCAGCTTTTCTATGCTCCAAATGCTTGCTCATAATGATATATCCTGAGGATTCTTGTTCCTAGTTCCATTACTTATTATGCCTTCATGCTGAGTAGCAAATGCGTAGTTAAAAGAATAATATAAACAATGTTGATATTAATAGAATTGTTAGTTGCAAGTATTGCTTTCAATTATTTAATTGTTCAATAACAATTGAATATTCAAATTATATATTGTAAAAAGCGTTTGCCTTTTCGCAGATCTCCATTTGCTTGATATGCTGAAGACGCAGGTGCAGCTGAAGGCGTTCTCCTGCTTTGCGCCCGGTTGCTACTACAAGACGGACACACTGGTCGACCTGATGAAGCACGACTACATGCATCACTGGAAGATGAGCTGGTTCTACTGCCACAAATGCGGCGATGTTTTCACCAGCAAGTAAGAATTGACTACTACAATTTACATGGTTGCTCTTCTACAAATAATAATTGCGATAATTTGATTTGTGGCAGGGTCTTCTTGGACTATCATCTGCATCGACAGAATCGGGGCGTTTACATTTGCCACAAGTGCCACGATGAGTTCGAGTTTCAGCACCAGTTGGATCGGCATCAGTTGATGCACAGCAAGTGCATCAATTATCATTGCAACTATTGCCGCCTCGAATTTCTCAGCGAGCACAAATTGTTGGCCCACTGCGAACAAGATCGCCACAGTCCCAACGATGAGCCGCCCCTCATTCACATCGAGCATGCGCTCTCCATTTGCAATCCGGTGCCCAAGGAGCCCGTTCAGGTGCCTCAGTATTCGGCACGCATGCTCAACATGCCACACAGAATGTGGACAAAGGGACAACGGCCTACCTTGCCACTGCCACACAATAAACCCTCGCGTTTGGCCATTGGCATCTGTGAATTTGATAATCGCAAGCCACCGAATTGTGTGGGCTGCCAGTGAAGCCACTCAGTGTTGCCTAATATCGTACAAATTATCCATCATTTAAAGCTATATGTATATTTGCACATACATATATATATATATAACGTATCTGTGTCAAATTGGAATAGGAATTGACATTGTTTAAGAATCGGATTCAGAAACTAAATTAAATTATTTTAAAGCACGCATCAGAATCGGAAACTAAATTTAATTTTTTATATAAACGTTGTTTAACCTGTTGTTTATTTTTGTATTTTGTAAACTTATATTACTTTTATCAAAAATACCTTAGCAGAATATCTTTATAGTAGATCCTGTTATGTAATATAAACAATCTGAAATCCCTAGCTCTGATAGTCTCCGAGGCTAGATCGAATCGTCTTCTGACGCTGATCATTATGGGTTTGGAGTTGTTTCCTTCGTTCGGTGAATCTAGCGGGAATAACTCTAAGTGGGCAACACTGGTTAGCCAGGCGTAGTTCACTTCCATCTATATATATATATATATATATACTTTAAAGTTAACTGCTAGTCGAGTGTGTTCGACTTTTGAATGACTTTTGTTGTTTGCCTCAAATATGTTTAAATTGATATTTTAGTTTGATTTTAATTCTTTTGATGCTAGCAAAAGTCTGATCCTAGCTATATGTCTGTGTTTATATATATTTTTCTATTCGAATAAATGTGAAACTTACCATTAAAAGAGTCAATAAAATTAATAATTATAATAATAATACCAACATTTTGATTTGATTTCTTCTCCAATATGTTTTTATATATTTTGTATGCCAGCAAAAGTCTGATCCTAGCTATATGCCTGTGTATATATGTATGTGTGTATATCTTACTTACCATTGAGATACCGATACCGATTTTAGTTAAATGAACATAATAATTCATTTATTCATATACATTTAAATCTTCAGTCAGTTTTATTTTGCATTACATACCGAAAATGTTGGCTTAATTACAAAAAATGTTTGCATTCAAGAATTTTGTGTGCTTAAATTAAGACTAAATGTAATAACGGCAAAATACTTGATTTGCATTAATCAATTAATCAATTAGACAATCTATATATATATATATATATATATATATATATACTTTTAATTATATGTACAAATTGTGTAACAAAAATGAATTAAGGCTAGGCAGATGTGTTTGTGTGTGTGTGTAAGACTAAGACTATATATATATATATACATATATATATATATTTATTCATATCTATATATATATATATATATACACATATATAGATGTACTTATAAAGAGCCTATTGCATTGCCCCCAGCGCATGTTTGTTTGATTTTTGCATTATTATTTTTTGTTGTTGCACTTAAAACTAGTTGCTAATTACAATTTGAATTAAGCTTACAAACTAATTAATTTCTTATTACATTTTGTACGCATTAATTTTTGTAGCTGTGTGTGTGTGTGTGTGTGTTGGTGTGTGTGTGTGTCTGTGTGTGTTGAAATGAGTCGGTGTCAGTCTTATAAAATTCAACCCAGGACATTTATTTATTTTTTTTTGTATGTTTTTGTTTTTTCTTTTTTTAATTTAACAAATAAAGTTTAGCAATTGTTTATTGAGCCATTTGAGGTAGTTCGTTTACTTATATTTAGCTCAAACACACATATATTTATATATATAATATATTTATTTATATAGTTTTTTTTTTTAAGAAATCATAAACTAAGCAGCTGTTGTTTAACTATTAGCTAAACTAGTTTTAAAACAAATCACTGGCATTTTAAGATAGTTGTACAAAATATTGCTAAATCTGTTTTCGTTTGTTGTTGTTGGTCCGATCTGATCTACCAGATCGATGTAGTTATATGTATTGAGCCTCTCGTTTTGCTCTGCCACGCCCACTCTATATATATATATATATGTATATATATATATATGCTTCAGTCTTATGTACTGTTTACATATGCTTTTTTTAATTGCCTCCATTCTGCTTCTATGTGTGTAGACGTGTGTGTGTGTGGGTGTGTGTGTGGGTGTACTAAGTCTAGATTCTATATGCTATATATCCTATATATGCTATATGCTATGTATGTTTAGTTTTAACTGTTTTTTTTAGGCACAAAGTGATGCTGACAACAACAATAATAATTATATTTTTGTGTATTGATTTCAATTTTTGTTTCTTGTATTTAAGGTGCAGGCCTGCCCCAAATCTGTGCCCCGGGGTGTTGGAGTGTGGATGGAGGTGTGTGGAGGGAGGTGGAGCGGGGCTTCATATGGAATTTGGGTTATTAAAGCTTAACTACCGCTAAACGATCAACGATCCGATGCCGAAATGAAGTTTTCCTTTCCTTTTCTTTTTTGTTTTTGTTTTTGTTGCACGTTGTACGCCGAACCAGAATTGATGAAGGATTGGGGATGGGAATTGGGGATTAGGATTGGGCTGAGGATTGCCTGGCCTAGTAGATGGAGTCGTGGCTGGAATCCGCTGCATACTGCCAGGCCATCGTTAGCATCAATCAGTCGGTGTGCTGTGACTCTGCCTGTGCCTCCTGTGCCTCGGTTAGAGTCGCCTCATCGCTGCCCAGCAGCTCACGTTTCAGATCCCTGACTGGCGGCGCTGGTGGCGACTCCACATCTCTGTAGTCAGCCAGCTCCGTCTGCTCCTTGGCGCCATTTGTGGTCGCCGCATGCATAATAACGCCAGCACTCTCCGGCTGCTGCGCCGGCGGCGGTGGGGAATAGGGTGATTCTGGTCGCTCCTTGCGACCAGCCAGCGATAGATCCTCCACCTGATCGTGCAGATCGTCCTCATCGTCCGCATCACGCTCCTCCTCAAGCGCCTCGCGCTTAATCAGACGCTCCAGCTCCTGGTCGTGCTCGTGCTTCTCCAGCGTCGTGGACGCCTCGTCCTCCTCGCCATAGTGACTGGGTGAGCGGCATGCCGCGTGTCCATTTGACCCGGGCGGACTGCTCGACATGCGATTGGCCGCCGCGTGTGCTGCTGCCGCCAAAGCCATGGCATGCAACGCCTCCCGGCCAGCCATGTCCTGCTGCAGAAAGGCATGGTCCAGCAGAGCGGCAGCCGAGTGTGGAATTGTGGGCGGCATGCCATGATGCGGATGCCCGTGCTGACCATGCTGGCCGTGCTGTTGCTGCTCCTTCGACTCCCGCTCCAGCTCCGACTGACCATAGTTCTGGGCAGCGGCTGCAGCAGCAGCCGCAGCAGCCGCCGCCGCCGCAGCGGAATAGGGAAACGCAGCGGAGGATTCAACGCCACCTGGCGGACTACGTTTGGGCGTGCGATGTGTGCCACGCCCCGTGGTGATGTTCAGCTTGCGCACCTTGTCATACAGCGTGCGACTGGGCAGTCCGAACTTGCGACTGGCCTGCAGGGCGCTCATGCCCTCGCGGACGCACTGAATCGCACACATCATGTCCGCACGGGTGTATTGCTTGTAGCGTTTCCATTCCGGCTTCTTGCCGCCGCCTGGTCCGCCGACGCCGCCCGTTTCCTCGTCGAAGGAGCGATCCGTGTGCGGCGAGAGAGGCTCCTTGTCGCCGCCATAGTCGGAGCCATTGAAACTGTGACTGCCACTGCCGTGATGCGGATGTGGAGCAGCAGCAGCTGCTGCAGCGGCGTGCTGGTGCTGATGCTGATGGGTGGGCGTCTTCTCGCTGAGCAGCTGCTGCTGCGCCGGCTGCGAGGAGTCCGCCGTATTCGCCTGAGCCAACACGTTGCGCAAAATGGGCGTGTCCCGCGTGGAGTTGAGCAGCATGCTCGAAATGGCCGAGAGTTTCTTGCGCTTGAGCGGATTCATGTCCGCAGCCGACTCGTAGACAGAGTTGAGCATGGCGGCGGCGGCGGCGGCGGAGGGGGAAAGTGGCCACTGGTTGCCCGCATCCCCAGCAGCAGCTGAATGTGGATGTGGCGTCGAGTGGGTGGGCGTGAGCGGTGCCTCGCCAGCCGAAATGGCAGCGGCGCTGGGATAACTTGAATAAGGCGTCTGATACGAGGAGGAGGCGGCGGCGGAGGCGGAGGAGGCAGCAGCAGCAGCAGCGGCGGCGGCGGCAGCTGCTCCAAACGGTGGCGGTGGTGGCGAGCAGCTGCTCGAAATGGCGGCGCTGGGCGAGATGTGCTGCGTGGACGTTGAGATCACGGACGAGGAATGATGATGACTATGATGCGAATGCGGCGCATGATGATAGCCAACGCCCACATCCTGGCCAGCGCCATTGAGCGGCTTGCTCGAACTAATGCTCGATGTGGGATGATGATGTGGATGCTGCTGCTGCTGCTGGTGCAGATGGGGATGTGGATGATGCGACTGACTGCCCTGGAACTGTTGATGCTGTGCACGCTGCTGCTCCTCGCTGGCTGCCGAGCTGCTCTGCGCCTTGTGGTTGAACTTCATCAGATTGTCGTAGAGACCCTTCACCTGCAGCTCCTTGGCTGTCCTCAATATTTCCGGCTCCTGGCTCTTCGTCACCGTCGTCTCCCCGGTGTACATGTACTGCAGCAGTGCAGCGATCTCGAAACCCTTCACACCCGGCAATATGATGCAGCACTGGTCCTGGGGCACGTCCTGCAGGATGGCCTGGAAATAGGGTGAGTTGGCGGCGAGCACCACGCGATGTGCCTTGAACTGTTCATCGTCGACGACCAGGGTGCAGTCGACATAGCTGCCCATCTCGTGGAGTGTGTGCAGGATCTGCACCAGATTCGTCTGATGATTGTTCCAGCGCAAGCAATAGGTTTGCCCCTCGCCGACAGCTCCAGCTCCAGCTCCTCCACCCCCACCTCCAGCCACGGCCGTTGGCCCGCCCATGCCAGCGTCCAATCTTTGACTCTGATGCGGATGATGATGCGAATGATGCGAATGATGATGATGCGAATGATGCGATTGATGATGACTCTCTCGCTGCTCCGAGCGCTGTTCGGCTCGCTCTCTGTCGCGTTGGCGCTGGCGCTGTTGGTGCGAGCCGTGCTCCGGCTCTGGCGTGTCCTCGTCGGGAGCGGTGTCGCTGCTGCTGTGGTAGGCGCTGTTCAGTGAGGTGAACGCGGCGCTCAGCAGCGTCGGCGAATATGAGGCGAGATGCTTCCTGACCTTGAGCGCCAGCTTAAGGCTTACACTTCACCACTTGGCCTAAACGGTGCGAAAGAAGCGAAAAAATATTTTATTTTATCTAAATTTATTTTAATTTTTTTGCAAAGTTTAGCAAAGATTTGAGAAAAACAGAGTTCTGAATTTCGCACGGGTTGCTATAATCAATGACAATTGGCATGCAAATCGAAATGGAAATGGGAGTAATTATTCAAAAAAAAGTCTAAATTTACTTAATCTATTTTATTATTTTTTGCACCAAAAAGTTGCTTGGAAAAATAGTGTCAAAACTTGCGCATTTTTCATAGAAATCATTAACCTGTTTCTAATTTTCAAAATTATTAAAGCACATTTAAAAAATGCTTCTATTATTAATTTGCTTAATTTAATTTTTTAATTTTAATTCACTTTAAATAAGTTGAAAGTGTTAAATAAAATGATACTTTTTTTCAAAGATACTTCTTCAACTACTAAATACATTAATAAATCATTAAACTTGCTCATTTTAAAGAGACATATTTCTAATGCAAGTGGTGCTATTCATTTTTCCGCAACTGTATGCATTTAAAGTAACTCGGGCAAGTGTGCAAAAAACCAAATTGTGTATTTCTTTTCGCACCGGTTGCTTTAATCAGTGAAAATTGGCATGCGAATGGAAAGGTAAATTGGAATAGAAGATTTCAACAAAATAAGTGTGTACATAATGATATATAATATATAAAAATGTAATGAAATGATGTATATAATGTGTGGAATACACCTAGAAATTCAAAAGTGCATATTTGAAAAATTGTTATTTTTTAGTTAATTTACTTTCAAATTTAATACTCCAATTTTAATGCGAATTAAATTTAAATAAGTTGCAAACGGAGAATTGACTTTTTTGTATTATATAAATAAATATATAAATAATATATATGCATATATATATATAAATATAGATTTGTAATAGCTCAGGCAGGTGTGCAAAAAATATTGTGTATTTCTTTTTTTTTTGGTCGAGAAGGGGGCGGAGGGCAGGCAGCTGCTGCTTCCACTCCAAATTCACCAGCCCCTTCCCCCACTGCCCAAGCCACCTTCAACTGCCTGCTGCCCCTCCTCCGCCCACCAATTCCTGCGCCATTTCATTGCAAAAGTTTGTTTTTTTTTCCGCTGGTTTTTGGCGGAAAAATCTTGGTGTTTTTTAAATTTATGCCCAACGCCAAACAAACCCCCCCAAGTTTTATGCGCCATAAAAAGTGAAAGCGCCTTTTGCCAAATGGAGTATGGGACAAAATATTACAGCAGGAGGTGTGTGGATGGGTACGGGGGGAGGGGGTGTGCTGGCTAGTGGGAGGGTGACAGCAAAATGCGTATAAAAAAAAAGAAAAAATGAAAAAAAAGAAAAAATGGGGGAAATATGCAAACATCCCTCGAAAAACGTGTGCGCGTATTTTTCCGGCTGCTTTTCGCGCGTTTTACTTTACATATTTCTTATATTTTTTACTGGAAAACGGGAAAGCAACACACACACACACGCAAACAGACAGAGAGAGAGAATGTGTAAGAGAGAGAGAGAGAGAGAGAAAATATAAAAACGAAACTCAAATGAAAAACTTGCAATAATTTGCTTTTTCCGCGTTTTCATTCATTTTTTCCTGGGCTCGTTTTTCCTGTTTCGAGGAGGGTGTGTGTGTGTGTGTGTGTGCGTAGTGTGTGTGTGTGTTTTAGTCACATTTCGTAGTGGTTGCAAGTAGTTCTAGCTATGCTCGAATTTCATTTCAAAACTTATTAAAATATATCTCTTTTTTTGGCTTGGGCTCAAGTGGTCAACATATGTTTCACTCCGCTCGCTGACCATGTGCAGCATATGTTGAACACGCTGCAGCGCCATGTGGCAGGCTGCGTTGCAAGCGAGCGCTGCCAATAAGCGAGGCGAGCCGAGCCGTGGCAACTTCGAGGAAGCCGCAGTTACCAACAGGTAACAGAGACTACACTCAACAAAAATATGTTTGTCTACGCTATTTTAAGATTTAATATTTATTCATTTAATAATAAAATAAATAAAATAATGAGAAAAAATACCCAGAAAAGTATACGTATTTTTTGTAAAATTTTACAAATATATAAGAATATAATAATCAAAGTTGATTTCCGCTTAGCACCAAAAGTATGGCGATTATTTTTCTGAGTGTAGCCGGGTCCAATTCGAAGACGATCGCCGTGCGTCGCAGTTAACTCAACAAAACAGAGCCAAACAAAACAAAACAAAACGAAAACAATCGAGAAAGGAAAATGTCAAAAGCAGACAAAAGAAGAAGCAGCAGCAGCAGGAGGAGTAGGAGTAGGAGTAGGAGTAGAAGGAGGAGGGAAAGAAAAACAAATGCGCTGCATTGTGTAGTGTAGTAAAATGCGCATTGTGCACGGTTTATTGTGTGTCTCGCAAGCGGATAATGGGCAAACAAGAAGAAGAGCAACCTGCCGAGATCCTTCAGACAGACAGACAATTGCGCAACAGATATCGGAGCAGGTAGCATTGGTTTGGTTAAGCATTTAATGGGCTCACAATGGCAAATGCATCAACGCCTCGCATCGTAAATCTTTGTTGAGCACTGGTTGCTGCCAAACTCTTATACGCCAATAAAAGCGCAAGCATTGCTCGAAAGCTTTTGCCTTTGCGATCGTGTCAAGCTTTTGCTAACAGCACGTTAACAGCGGGCGCCATTTTGTTGGAATCGCGTTCGTATTGAGAATGATAAGCAAACGTCATTGAAACCGAATGCACTTGGAAACCGGTTTCGGATTTTCCAGTTTATTTCTGCTTTTTTTTGTTGTTTTTTTTTTTGGTGTGTGCCCTTTTGTAGCTGTTTTTGTTTTTTGTTGTTTTTTTCTTCGATTTTTGGCTGCTCGCTTGCTTGTCAATTTTTTACACGTACCTCAAAGTTTTAATTGCGAAATTTTAGCTCTAAACAACATCTTTGACTTATAAATTATTAAAAAAAAAACAACAAATTATATGGCACTAATAATATTTAGTGGCTTTGGTTTAAATTTGAAAACAACAGCAAATATATTTAAGTTTCAAATTTTGTGCTGACCTCAGCAAATTTAAGTACTAAAACAATTTGTTTAAAAATGCAAATATAGCTTACCACAAAATATATATAAATATGAAAATGCGGCAGTTGCAGGCCACAATTGAAGCCTCAATTTTAGTTGACAAATGGCACTTTAATTATTAATTATGGCCACTATTCTTAAATTTGTTTATGCGTAACTATGTTCAATTTATATTTGTTATTATTTCCATGCGGTTTTTGTTTTGTTTTGTTGCTTAAACTGTCACATTTGTGCGAACAGACAATAAGAAAGTGTTTTGCAGAACTTTTTTTGTTTTGTTTTTTTGTTGTTGCTAATAAGTTTTATTACTATTTTTTTAATTAACAATAACGCGATAATTCGCAACACACACGCACACCAAAAAGACACACGAAATGCTGCTTGCAATTTTGTTTTTTTTTTTTGTTTTTTATCCAAGTGTGTGTTCTTAATGCTAAATATGATTTTTGTTTGGAGTGCCCAAAAAATCTGCGACACGTACGAATTTTTGCGTTTTTCTTATTTTGTATTTTGTTTTTTTTTTTTTGTAATTTTTTTTTTGTAATTTTGCGTGGCACGTTGTTGCAGATTCGAGCGCTCAAACTTGAATAAAAGTGCCACGGCGTTCGTGTGCAGCAAGTCATTGAAAACAACAAAATTTCCCGAGCGAGATAGCGCACACACACACACACGCACATTTTCTAACTCTCACAGGGGAAGTGCTCAACAACAACAGCAACAACAACAGCTGGTTAAGGAAAAGCCACAAAACTGTGCTACGCTCAGCGCTGCCAACCCTCGTTCCGTCTCGCTCTTTGCACTGCTGACGCCGCTGTTGACGTCGCTGCCAGCGTCGCTGTCGTCGTCGCTGTCTGCATTGCAGCCTGTGTTCTGTTTTTATATTTTTTTTGCGCTGTGTCTGTGTACGTGTGTGTATGTGTGCGTGTGTGTGGGTGAGAGTTGCATATGGCGGCCGCTGCTTGCTGCTGCCAATGGCACCCAAGAGATTACTGCATGTGTGTGCGTGCGTGAGTGCGTGAGTGCGTGTGTGTGTGTGTGTGTGAGTATTTGTGTGCTCTTTTTGGCGTATGTTAGTTTTATAATAAAAAAAAATTGTCTGGCGGCTGCATTTTTTTTCTGTAACTGCTCAAAGTTACCCAACTGGCTGCAGGTTGTAAGCTGTTGTATGAAAAAAAACTGGTTAGGCGCATGAGAAACAACAAAATTGTAAATTTAAATTAAAATTTGTGTCGAGCGCATTACTAATTATGCAAGCCATAAATGGCAATAGTAGGTAACAAAATAAATAGGTATAAAAAATAGCCAAGTAGAATTTATTGGCATTTCGCTTAAGCTATGCAAATTTGATCTTTCCCTTAAGATGTTGAAGAAGAAGAAGAAGCAGAAGACGACCTTCAGCAATCAATAATTGCTGCACTCGTTTTTTATTGTCATTATTTTTTACGTAAGGGTTCGCTTTTAATTTGCATATGGGTTCAATTTTGGATTGATTTTTTTTGTTTGGTTTTTTTTGGGATATGCAAATTATTTGGCCTTTGCTTGTAACGGTCAAAAAGTGGCCCAGGCATCTGTGCAGGGTTAATGATGACGTCACAAAATGCAAACTTGACTTGAGTTGAGTTTTAATTACAAATATAAAATGCATAGCTGCATGTGTGTGTGCGTGTGTGTGTGTGTGTGCGTGAAATGAACCGCGAATCGCTGGCCGCCTCTCGCTCTCTCTCACACACACACACATAGAGACACACAGCATCCGCAACAGTCGCGCATGTGCAACTGTTGTGCTCTCGCTTGCACTCACTTGCCCAGCGCATCTGGCAACAGTTTCTCTTTTTTCATTTTTGGCATTTTTGTTGCACATTTTGTTGAACGATTTT